TGGAAATCTCAGTGGATGCCAGTGGTGAAACCATTTTGAGCATCACTCAGAAGAGCTTCATCGATGCTCTAGAACGAGGCATTCCTGTGAAGAAAGCAGATCGGAGCAAAGTTTTGGAAGAGCACCAATGGCCAGAGTACAGATCCATCAGCGGATGCCTTCAATGGCTTGCTGGTCAGTCAAGGGTTGATATCGCCAGCACTGTGTCTTTGTCAAACAAAGGTGCTGAAACCACAGGTGCTGAGCTAGAGTTGCTGAATGACACCTTGCTCTACGTTAAGAGCACTAGAGACAAGGGTTTGAAGATTTATGGAATACCCATCGACGAGAGCACAACGCTCGTCGGGTTCAGCGACAGTTCATGGGCAAACGCCAAGAATTCGGCGAGTCAACATGGAACTTTAATCCTTTTGGCACCACCTTCGGTCAGCGAGAAGACTTCCGTTGGAGCCTTAGTTGACTGGAAAAGTTCCAGAAGCCGACGTGTTTGTCGCAGCACTCTTGCGGCAGAAAGTGTAGCCGCAGACAGCTGTTCAGATCGACTGGTTTTTGCTCAGTACAGCCTGGCCGAACTTGTTTTTCAGACTCCAGCCCATAGAGTGGGCAAAGTGCTCCGAATGCTGTTGGTGACCGATTGCAAATCACTTTACGATTGCATCTCGGCACCGAATCCGAACTGTGAAGATCGTCGTTCACTCGTGAACATCCGCAGCATGCAGGAAGTGAGCAAGGACGGTACACTGGGTACCCACCACACTCCAGATGAGTGATTGCTTGACGAAGATCAGCCGTGCCTTGCAAGAGACACTTTTGAGTTGGCTGCAGTTTCCACGAATTCAACTGCGGAAGCATGACGAACCAAACAGAAAGTTGGGAGTGTGAAAATCCACTCATGCATGCCTTGGTTCGTCAGGTCGTTCCCTTCCGCCGCTGCCGTACAGGTACCAAGAGCCGTTTCCCTTTGCGTAAAAGGCCATGCATCCGAGCATTTGCTGTGCCTTGTTCCTTGCGTTTTGAGGGCGGTCACTCAGGCACGTGACTGTATCAGAGATACAACGTTCGAACCAGGCAGAACTTCAATGTCACATAATTTAATCGTGTAAAGTCTGCACAATGCTTGCGCAGACCCCCTACTAACAAAGTCAGGGTGAAGCAGACACCAACTCCCAATTCTACCTTTGGATCATTTGGCCAGAATTGCTAGGTCACATGTGGCGTGTTGTTGGCCACGAAGGTCCAAACACCAAGACGACCCTGATTCAGATTATTCAGAAATATCCCCCAAACTAGGCTCTTGAACTTGGATCCACATTTGGCAGCCGCTTTCCTTCAACCAACTCCAGAGACATTCATGATCAAAATGAGTGTCCAGCCAGGAACCCAAGACAAAGCGACGGGATGCTTTCCAAACGATTGCATGTTTCGGCAGAAAAGGCCTGTGCTATGGAAGATAGCCCTAGGTGCGACTGACTGGCACATACCTGCCCAGGATGAGAGTCCTGAAATCTTTGAGAGCAATACGGATGGCCCGTAGCCTTCGCTTCTTGCGTGGCCTTCGACTACTGGTGAAAGCCTGTCAGTGCTTCCTTCCATCATTGTGCTGGTCCATGGTGCGGTCCTGAGACGAATGACGAATGTGACTGACCCTGTCGACTCTCGATGTGTTCTGAGCCTCTGAGCAAAGGGTGCCAGAGTAGACTGGTGACAGTCCGAGCAAAGTGAGCAAAGTTGTTTATACAATCTGAATCAAGAGGAATTACTTGGGAGAATGCTTACAGTAATTATTGGTGCATACCTGCATTTTCCATATCAAAGCAGTGATCAGATTCAGATGGGGGGCCCTAGGCTCCTAGGTTTGCAAGAACTTCGTTTGCATGGAACTTCTTGGCTTGCCGTAGGCATAGGTCGTGTTGAAGTTCCTGAGTTGCCAGGTGTTTCTTGGAGTTGTTTGTTTCAATTTCAGCAAGTGCATTTAGCCAATCTTGCGGAGGAAGAAACGGGTGCCTGCCAGTCAGGAATGAAACTAAAACCCCAGCAGCCACTTTTGCTGTGGATGGATATGTACCCATTTGGAGTTTGTATATACATACCATCTAGACAATCAATCCATTTTTTTGACAACGTGCAAGGATGGTGCTTGGTTTATGAGGTTGGTTGATTCATTATTGTTGATTGGCTAAGCTGAGCAGGAGATACGTTATCCCCAAAGCCACAACTCAGCCATGCTTTGAGGGACAAGCAGGGCTCACGCTCTTCCCGGGCTTTGAGGAAGAAGCATGATGACTGAGAGGGGATGCCAAGAAGATTAGCCACTTGCCACTTACCACATGTTTTCCCGGCTGGGACCAATAGGACCAATAGGAACCGAGATAGTGGAAAGACAAACCAATGTCCAAATGGTGTTCGGACAGGGGCCAGACTCAAGAGCGTGTCTCCACATGAGGTGCTATTAGGGTTGATGATGACCATTGGAGCACTACTGTTGGGCAACTTGCTGTCAGTGCCTTGGATTGCGATCGGTTGCTGGCATGAGGAGCGCGTGGGAGCGAAGGGAAGGAGCATGGGAAGTGAGAAGTGTGGACTCCCTCTTTGCAAGATGTGTAGGTCAAGGTTAACATCCGAAACTGGCTTGGGGCCGCATTCCGCCTGTGTTCCCGGTTCATGGAGATACTTCTTGAACAGCCTCTTGTAGGCGTCTTGCTGTGCAAGAAGGTTTTACCCTGTCCGGTCAACTAGAACAGGCGCTTCTTGTTCCTTTGTTCCCACCAACCTCGAGGAACTTGTTTCGCAAGAGATCTCAAGAGACTTGTTTGGAAGGTTGGCTGTCCATGCTACCAACCTACGTTTTGTTGCTGCTGCTGAAACCGGCGCTTGGGTTTTTGATTCACATATTGCCAAATGGTCACTCCAATCAGAGCAAGAATTGCAACTAACCACAGCTATCCCAATGCATATGCATATGCCGCATGCTGCAGCACCGTTGTCCACACCGCTGTGGGTCATCATCATAATTGCATTGGTGATCTCCCTTTTGTCCCAATGTTCCACCCTGTGCCACGAAGTCAGAAGTACATTGATCTCACTGCTTGAAATGAATAGCGATGGCCTCCAACTGATAGCAATGGGCTCCAACCTGGTAGCGATGCCCTCCAACCCAATAGCAATGGCCTCCAATCTTTAAAGCGATTGCCTCCAATATAATAGCGATAGCCTCCAACCTAATATAGCAATCGCCTCCAGCCTAATGGCCCCCGGGTTTGTCCTTAAAGGAATAACTGGAATAACTGAAACCTGATCTTCCTTCCTTCGCTGCCTCCACCTGGTGGACGGACCTGAGACGTTTGTGCTCGACCCAACGCTGAATGAAGCGGATCGAAGATGGCTTTGGGAACGCTATGGCACGGCGCACCTGGGCAGAGGAGGAAGCCCATTAGAAAGAAAGATCAAGACACACCCTTTCAATATATAAAACTATTCAGGTTTTTTGTATAGAAAGCTTCGAGCTTCAGAGCTTTTGCGGTACAGTATTGTAGTGTTGCGTGCAGTGGCGGAATGTTCTCCGTCCTTTGTGTGCGGAACGGTTGCACTCCGGTGTTAGTGTTCAATATTGATCAATGGTCTAGGTCTCCAAGATGCAAGGCCGGAAGTTCTATACAGTCGTGAGTTGCACAAGGCAGACCCCCGACTCTTGTCCCCTGCCGTGCGCTAATCGTTGGAGCTGCAAACAGCAACCTCGCAGCAGAATGCAGCAGAGATGTTCTCTCTAGCCTTCCTTTTCTCGAAGCGAGACACCATGATCAGCGGGTAGGAGCATGGACGCTACTAGGGACTCCTGGCCGTACTACTAGGAGCAAGGACGCTACTAG